TCGATTAGGTGACTTAAGTTTCCTGCAGAACTCAAATATTATCCTTCAAATCCTGCATTCTAAAAAATAAAAAAGATTATCCTGCTCTTGTACTGCAAGACATATGTAGAACAAAGTAGGTTATCTATAGGGTAGGTCATGTAGGACACGTATCCTGCGGTGTACTTTGATACACGTTTCATATACATGATTTCATGGATAAAACATTTTACATAGTGATAAATTTGAGATAATATATCGATCAAGTATTTGATATGAAATTTCATAAATATTATCAATATCAATCGATGATATCAATATAAATTTGAGAACATTAATGAAGATAGAATCTGATATTAAAATGTCCAATCAGTGTTTATTTATAACCACAAATGAATAGAGAATCATCAATATTATCAAATTTCCTCAAAATATAATAAGTAATATCTCATTAGATAGATTCTTGCTTCAATTCTGTATATTATCTCTTATATAAATATTACTATCTACGTATATTGTTTTTTTTCTTGCTTTCTAATCATTGCCGTCAATCAAAAAAAGAAAACAATGAATGACCTTTTCGAACATAAATTTAGTATAGATTTTTAAAATTTAATCTAATCCTAGATGAATAATATTATTTTGTTGATGATTTCCAACATGTTTATCGTCATAAGAGTATGTTTATCTATCCCAAAACAGAAAAAAAAGACAACCAAGGTCACAAACATAAAAAGAACTGTTTTACATACGGATGTTAGATAAATGATATTTAGATAAGACTATATATGATGTACTATAAAAAGTAACATCTGTCTTGAAATAAAAAAAAAAAACGGCCGATAAAGTTAATCTCTTTATTATTTATATTGTTCAAAATCATTTCTCATTACATACAAATTACTTTTAATATTAATCAATTCTTTGAATGAAGATCTTAATGATGATTAAGTATACAAATATTATTCTAATCTTATTAAAATTTGATTATTTTTTTTGCATTATATAAATACTCATTATGAAAAAAAAAAATTTGTTATTATTTCAATTCTGTATCATAAAAAAAACAAAAAATAGTCGACGTTTCTCGAAGTTTTATTTGATAATAGATGATAAGAAAAATTGTGTATGACATTTGAAAGTAAAGTACATTTTGAGAAGACAAAATAAAAAAAAAAGGAATTTATTACCAATAATCTGAAACAATCAAGTTGTTATTTTGGTAATCGTATTCAAAATTTTTTTGTCGAAAATAAAAGATAATTTTAATCTTCTATGTAATATATAAAGCTTTTTGAATAAAATAAGTATCAGATGAGAATAAAAAACAAAGCGAATGATTTAATAATAATTTGTATTTATCTAAGAGATGTAAAAATAATATATTTATGTTTATATAAAAAATGAATTAATTGTTGAAAATGTATTTAAAAGTTCATTAAAAAATGTATTATGAGAATCAAAAAAAAGTCTAAAATAAGACATTTCTAAGTTTTATTGAACTTCATTATATTTAAGTCAATAAAACTTTATTAACATAGTGTAATTAATAGGATGATTTTATAGGGATTTTTTATCGTGTCTAGACTTTGATTTTCTTTAAATTTTAGTAAAATGTTTACTATCAAAAGATGAATCCAGAGTTGTACATTAAATCTAAAGTTCTAATAAAATCTTTTTATTTTTCATATTAACTTAACATGTCCATCTATTAAATGAACTATTTTTATTTACATAAAATTCCTAAGAGTATAATAGAACAATAATACAAAATTATTATATTTTTATAATTAACATGACTTATTTTTATCATCTATAGCATCAATAGAGATAATAATGGTAATTCATCAAAAGTTTCTAACATAAATGTATTATCATGAATGCATAGCATTAATAATTCAGACTATTCATTAGTAAATATATTAGTGTTATATATCAAGTTAACAAGTATATTTAATGAATCAATGATAATAATTAAATACAAATGAAAAAAATTTTCTTATATCATGTTGTTCATTAAATTTTATTTCAATACAAAAAAATTGAAATAAATTATATGAATTAATTAGTCAATTCTTTATGGAAATGATAATCTTTTTTCTATTTACAAAATCTTCAATATTATCATTAATATAACGATTTCATCATCTCTTCTACAACTTTTATCAAGTGATGAATCATTATTACGTATATAATTTCATGCATTAGAACTTTATTCTGATACGCAATGTATTGTAAATATATCAATTAGTAATCGTTATATTAAAAAATAAATGTATGTATTTATTAAAAAGAAATTTTTTTTTTTTCGTTTCAATGCATTATAAACATAAGAGAATTTACTTGTTTCATCTTGTCGTTATCTATTCGAGAAAGGTGATTGAGAAATGACATAAAGAAAAAAAAAAAAATATATATATGTATATACTATCTCTTTTAAGTAAAAGTTTAGTTTTGATTCTTTCTAGAATGTCATTATTTATCAAGAAAGAAAAGGTTTCATTAATATGACATGAATATATATATGCAGAGTCCCTGTAGAGATTAATCTTTTTGTTTCATTTTCTTTTGATTTTGAGATATTTTTTAATAAATCCAGGAATTTGTCGTTGTTTTTTTTCTTAAATATTTTTCTTTATGATGACATATGACTGTTAATGATGATTCGAGAACTCAAAGAAAAAGAAAAGCATTTTATCATGAAATGAAGTGTTATAAGAATAGTCACTCGAAGCTGACATGTGTTGAAGTACGTCGATGTAGAAGCTATAGTATTTTTTTTTTTTAATTAAGTTATAACTATATGACTAGAAATTCTTATAGAATTCCCTAGAGATAGCATTCTAAACTCATTTTTTTTTCTTTTTTGCTTTCCTCATTTTTGATTTTCTTTTGAACATTTGAGATTTGCATCTATCGAGTATAATATATTCAGTTGTGAGATTCTTCTCTGTCAATATGATTAGAGATAAAATTCATATCTTTATATTTATTTTTTACATATTTAGATAAAATATTTCTAATTCGACAGATTCATTTTACTGTTAACCTTGAGTTCGACTATGCCGTAGTGTACTATATTTACTCAATGAAACGTTAAATTCAGCCTTTCATTTTTTTTTTTTTATCGATGTATGGTTATATTTTATTCTTCTTTCGTACTCGATATACAACAGGCAAAATGTTTATACTTGATGTATTTCGTTTTTTTTTTTTTTCTTTCTTTTTTTGTTAGCATAAAGAAATAAATATACTAATGATCACATTGACATGCTTGGTGTGACGTCGGTAATATTGGATGAGCGTGTAGACAAAATGTTTATTATCAGTTAAGCAGAACGATAACAACTACGTTATATTACCGAATATTGTCATTTTGATTGGTATTTCTCTTCAATCACTCGATTTCTTTCTTTTTTTACATAAGCAAAAAGAAAAAAAAGCAAATGACTTAAAAGCTTCAAATAATCATTGAAGCGAGACGCAAATGCATCGACATGAGACGAACGATTCGATATAGGTGTAAAGAGAAAGGACATCTACGAAAAAAAAAAAAAAGAAACGAACTACTCAATGGTATTTAAATAACATTATGTGTAATGTATGATATTATCTCACTAATTATTTTAGATAATTTCTCTTTAGAAAAAGAAAAAAAAATAGATTAGTTTATTATCATAGTAGACTTTATAGAAAATTTATTTTATTCTTATTCATAAAATAGACAAATCAATACGAATATAATATGATTATTAGTGAAAAGTGTCTTTGTTTGGCAGGATTGTAAATGATGTATTGACTGTCTCAATAAACGTAACTATTCATATGACAATGTATTTCACACGTCATCCTCAATGAAAAGATATGTAGATGAGTAAGAAAAAAGCTTATTAATAGATGAGTTTGATAATGGTGAGATTAATATAGAAGAAAAAAATCTTCATTAGATGAGTATAATCCTTGATAAAGAAAATTACAGGTATTTATATACTTTTTTTCCGTTTTTCCTCTTTTTTTTTCTCTGGATAGGAGTATTCAGGCATTCTAGATTTTCTTTTGATGATGTTCTCAGACTAGTAATTTAAATTGTGACAATGACTATATGAATGAAATGCGCCACTTTCTCACTATGTAAGCTTGTTCGCACTTCCATTATTTGATTGACATGGTTTTTTGAAGACGTAAGAGAAGAAAAAAACAAAAATGAAGAATTATGTGTGCATGTGTGTTTTTACTCGTGAATATGCCTTTGTATGACATACAAATGAACATACATACATAAAAGTCGTCTGACAACAAACGTGAAATTCTTTTTTTATTTCTATGTTAGTTGTATGCTTAAGAATCAAAAAAAAAAACGCAGCACAGTTTCACAATTGTTTATTATTCTTATTGAATGAATATATAATCAGATCAAGTTATCATTGATGAACAATGAAATTTTCTAAATTTTCTCTAACGTAAGTAAATAAGATAATAAAAATATCATTCATGTATCAGTTGTTTATTTTTTTTTGTTTTTTTCGAAAGTAATCTAAGTACAAAAAAAAGAAACCTTTCATATCAAAACATAACATATTAGATATCAATAAGAAAAGATTTTAAAAAAAAAAAACTTGTCCTTTTTGACATTGTTTTTTTTTCAAAAAAATGACTGAATAACCAGGTATTGTTTTCTTTTTTTTAACTTAACATGAATTCATTACAATTTGTTTGTATTTATTAATTTCACTTGCTGACTTCCTTTTCAATTTTGTCTGACAAGTTTGTTTTTTTTTGCTATTCTTCTTTTCTCTTCTTTTTCTTTTTTCTTTTTTGTTCTCAAACAGCCGACATTTTTTACAAGAGAAATAAATATGCCTTTGTTCTTCACTTAATACATTGCATCAACATTATTTTATAAGTTTTAAACAAATTTTATTCAGGTACATTTCTAACCATAAAATAAAAAAAAAACATATCTTTCATTAGAAATCATTCAATATTCAAAGATTATTAATATAAAAAGAAAATCATTTAAAATGGCTCTTAAAATTAATCATCATTATTATACAAATATATCATCAGCTATTTCAACTAATCCAAATTATATTTTACATCGTACAAGTGATTTATTAGTCAATATATATCTATATTATATATTAATCTTTATGTTCATTTATATTAATTATTTTTTTTTAGATACCTCTTTCATCTAAATCATCATTTATTGAAATGTCTTCAAGAAAACAGTCTTGGGCTAATTTTATAAATGACTCGTCTACGCAAATTGTTAAAGATGAAACATTAGATTGGGATGTAAATGGTATTCCATCTCCACAAATAAATGATATTGATTATACAATTGTTGATTCAAAAATTGAACCATTTCATCCTAAAAATTATCTATCAATTCGAACAACACCTATTGAAAAATCTAATATTGATATTAATAAGCAAAAAAAGAAAACAGTTACTGTCAAATGTAAGTAATAGGTTCTTTTTTTTTTTGCTAGTTTAAGTATTAAGATACGAACAAAAAGAAATGAAACCTTTCTATTCATTCGAAATATCATTGATTTCTTTCTGTAAATTTACAAAGAAAAAAAGAAAGAAAAGTTCTTTTTTTTGTAATGTTTCTTATTTTTCTCACGGTTTTTTTTGTGTCTTTTGCGTATGTTTTGCCATTACTCTTGTCTTCACCACCTTCATGAAAATTATTATTTGCTCTATAGGATGCCAAAGGAAAGAACACGATGACTTGCCATATGCATCCATACCCACCCCTTGTCTAACCAGTCGTAAGCAAAACCAACGAAAATGTTGTTAGGCAGACTGATTCTCTTTTTTTCTTCTCCTCTTTTCTTCTTTTTTTTTCTTCATCGTTTCTGCCGTCGTCCTTCTTTCCATACTTTATAACAGCTACATGTTACTTGTGTATGTACGCTCACACAACCCCCCGTTTTTTTCTCTCTCGTCCTTCTGACATCCAATCATCGATGTAGCAGTATCGTCATCAGCAGCGTCCACTTTTTCTTTTTTTTTTAGAGGATTTTTTTTTTTTTTTTTTTTTTTTTTTTTTTTTTTTCTTTCTATTATGTATATCGAATAGGTAAAATCTGAGCAAAAGAGTATGTTCAATATGCGTTTTGCATCAATATATGAGCTATTAATTGAACTCTATAGAAGAAATGTACGCACAGACATGTGTTCATTCGTCCTATTTCGTCAGAGGTCATGCAGCCCGTGACCTGATAGAATAAAGAACGAATAAGAATACTTATATTGTTGTTCATATGAGAAAGAAAAAAAAAAACAATATTTATTAGATATAAATTTAGCGTTTATCATAATGTCTTGAAGAAAAAGAAAAAATTAATGGTTTTTCTTTTTTTTGTCGAAAAGTTCTCATGAACTTCGATATGTTATTTTTCTATAATATTCTATTATTGAATAGAAAATTGAATTTTCGAGATGAGTAAATAAAAATAAGAATCAAGTACAAATCATGGATCTATGAAAGAATGTAAAAAATCTTCTTAACATTATAGATGACTCTGAATACATCGTATTTTCTTTCTTTTTTTTGCGTTCTTTTTTCTTTTTACTTTCTTGATTTTTTCTTTTTTTATATTATACTCTTTATAATCATCGTTTTACACATTATACGAATCTATATTAACCTTAGATCATATCGTCCTTGTGTTTTTTTCTTATCTCAAAACAAAAAAATAATGTTCAATAATTAGATATGTTGACTATGTCAGGATCAGGAAATACGCAGACAAATTTTGATCGTGGATCAACTTCAATATCTAATACAACATCATCAACAATTAAACAACAACCATTTAGTCCACCACCTTATCATCCACTATCAAATGGGTTTTTTACTCAACATCATCAACGATCAACACCGTCACCTGATAATGAACAAATATCACCATCATCAAATAATCTAGTTGAAACATCTTCAACATCATCTAATTTAATTCCACCATCGGCAGCAGGTGGAGGTTGGTAGAAAAATTATAACCAAAAGAAAAAAGAAAAAAAAAAAGAAAAGATCCGATATTTATTTTTATCCATGGGGGAAAAAATAAATAACTTCTACTGGTTGTTTTTTTTTATACGGGTTAAACGCTTCAATGGTTAAGTGCTTGATGAATAGAGTATGACATTTTTCTATCTATGTCATATTAATAGAATCAAACGCTATACTTGGCTTTATCAAATAGCAATGATAACTTCTAAAGGTGTTGTAATGGGTTTTTTTTTCTTTAAGTCAACCTTTTTTCAATTACAATAACCTTCAACTGATTTCTTTTTTTTTTTGATATAGAAGAAAAATATTTTCCTATTTTTTTTTTTTGTTATGAAGTATTATTAGTCAATTCTATTATTCATATATTTTTATAAAAGCAATTTTTAATCAATGATATTAATTATTCTCTAGAGAATAAGTCTTTTTATTGTTACTTTAATATCGAAAAATTTATTTATTAATTTATTTTTTTTATTATTTAGCTCCAATACCTTCGGAAGATAAACGTCGTTGTGTATGTATAAATAAAAATAAGTTAATTTTCTATATAAATTTTGTTTTATTTAGGCTGTATGTAGTGATATTGCTTCTGGTTATCATTATGGTGTATGGAGTTGTGAAGGTAAATATATTAATATTTTATTTATTGGGAACATTGTGAACAAAGACAACAAAAAAAAATAATAATAATTTCCTTTTTTTTTTTTTTGTTTAAGGATGTAAAGCGTTTTTTAAACGAAGTATTCAAGGTACAAATGAATATATTTGTCCGGCAACAAATACATGTACAATAGATAAACATCGTCGAAAAAGTTGTCAAGCATGTCGTTTAAGACGATGTTATGAAGTCGGTATGACCAAAGGTACAACACGACGAGAAAGAAAATATCGTAAAAAAGCTGTATCAGTTTGTAAAATTACATCAACATCATCAAATTCAAATGCTACAAATAATTCAATTAGAAATAATCAAGAACATGGACTTTTAGTAACAACTACTGATACACCACCAACAACTGGAACACCATCAGCATCTCAATTAAATAATAATAATAATAACTTTTCATCATCACAAGCACAAGCAAATAAAGTATTATTAAACAGTCTTCGGTTTTTTTTTTCTATACGTATTTTTTTTTTAAAAATATTTAGACAACTTCTGAATCATTACGTATCCCAATAGCTCCAGCTGATTTTATTGCTACACTTTCTCAAGCATCTCGTCTTAATTTACCATCCAAAGCCGATACTAGTCGTCCATTAGATGATCAATATTTTCTTCAATTACTTGCAAAAATTTTCGATCAAGAACTTGTTGTTCTTATTAATTGGGCTAAAGCAATGCCAGGTATTATTATTTTTTTTTGTTTTTCTAAAATTCTTCTTCGAAATAATATTTTTGTTCTTCTTTTTTTGTCTAAATATCTTATTAGGTTATACTGAAAGTTTAACTCTTGATCAACAAGTAACAATTATCGAACAGAGTTGGTTAGATACTTTACTTCTCGATATAATCGAACGATCATTAGAACGAAATGATGATACATTACATTTTGCACCTGATTTTATTATTTCACGGTAAAAAAAAAGACTGTTTTTAATCATTTTTTTTCTCTAAATTTATACTTATATTTACTTTTCTTTCGTTTCTTTATCTAGAAATCGTACTTTATCAAGTCCAGGCATCGGTGCCATATGTACAAGTTTATTTAATATTCTTCAAGCATTTAAAGAACCTCGTACAACACATGAAGAATTTATTGCACTTAAAGCTGCAATACTTATTAATTCAATACCAGCAACAATAACAACAACAAAATCATTTCGTTTATTAACAAATCAAATTTATCAATCAATACAACATGCATGTGATTCAAATCCAAGTATTTATCAAGATAATTCTATACGATATTTTACATTATTATTACAATTACCACATATTAAAATGTTAAGTTCAAAATTAATAAGACTATTTTTAGATATGCGTGCAAATGATTTATTACCACAAGCTGATCTTTTATTAGAAATGCTTGACGCACAAGATGCATTTGATATAAATAATTGTTTTTTATCATTACATCATGATGTTAATAGTTTATCATCACAAACATCAAATTTTAGTCAAAATTTAACATCAAATAATAACAATAATAATAATAATAATAATAATAATGCAACATCAGTGATGCAACCACCAACACTAAATAATTCTAAAATTCAATCTGATTGTTCAAATTCAATTAATTATAATAAAAAACAACAACAACAACAACAAGATGATAATGAAACAGCAAATATCGATGATCCACATTGTAAGTGAAAACAAAATTAAAAATTTTATTTGACTTTTACTTTAAATATTGGAACAAATATTTTTTTGGTAGAATAAATTTTAAATATTTAATCATAATTTATGAGTAAGAACAATGATTGATAGAACTTCAGTTACATATTATTCGCTTCCTTTTTATATCTTCTCATTATGTAGGACAAAATTGACAGTCTATGGTAGCTGAGATGTAGTCTTTTACAATAAAAGCAATTTTATCATATGTCAAATTGGAATTATGTTGATAGGATTTTTTTTAAAATTAAAATACAAATAAGAAATCATTTATTCTAGGTCAAATGAATTATCGAATGACATCATCATCACCAATGGTATTTGCCGCAGCAATGCCTGCAAAACGTTCACCATCAACTCCACCTACACAATATTATAAACCAGCTCGAACTGAATCTATCCCAACGCCACCACCAACTAGTATGCATTTCCCAATGAATAATTCATCTTATTAAATAATGCTCAATCAAAATCTTTATTTCTCATATTAAACGTGCCATAGATAGATTTATATATATATATATATATGAATATAAATAAAGAATTCTATTTTTCTCGTCAATTTACGAATGAAATTTTACAACAGTATTCATTTATTTGCTCATATGAAAAGAAAAAGAAATATGTATCTCAATGCTCAATAATCATCATAGAACTCCAGCTATTATTATTATTATTATTATTATTATAATCGTTCATTATGGAACGTATGAAAAAAAAAATTTACTTTTGTTTTCTTTTTTTTTTGTCATGTGTTGTGTAATATTCTTCAAAAACAAACAAAACAACATGTTTATATGCTTTTATGTTTTGTGTATTAAACCCGGTTTTTAACACCATCTCGGTGTTTTACTTTTTTCTTGTTTTCTCCTGTTTGCATTCATGTTTTCTATTTTTTTTTGCTCTGTTTGTGATTATGTTGAATGCACGTGATGTATGTTGAGTTGACAGATTAATTCATTTGTATTAAAATACGTATGACAGACTCAATGTATTGTCTAAATTTCTTCAAATTCGATAAAAAAAATAACAACATAGAAAAAACCAACAAAGACGAGGAAATCATATTTCTAGAAAAAGAAGCTTTTTTTGGAAATATTTTTTATGAGTTTTTATATTATCACAATAGAGTACTTAGTGAGTACCATTGATTAAAGCATTATATTCATAGTATTAATGCTTTTGTTTTCAAATAAGTTATTAAGTATCCATAATTAATGTGAATGTGATAATTTTTTAAGCTAAAAAAAGGTACTCGTACGACGGAGGAGAACTCATAGAATTATGGAAACGGTGATCGTCAAGTTAAAAAAATAAAGCGATAGATTCACGATCATAACTTCGATGATTATTAGCAGATCAAACGAATTTCTATTCATTGGTATATTCAAGTTATGAATGATGTTAATGAGAGTAGTAATAACAAAACTAAATAATGCTATGTATTATTATGATTACTTTTTTAAAGCTCTAAAAGAATAAAACTATATTATAATGAATTTTAAAAACTAATTGAAGAAAATATTAAAATCTTGTTTATGTAAGATGATTGCTGAACGAATAGACAATAATGTGCAAATATAATTTAACGAAAGATTTATGAGTAAAATCGAAAGCAGATGAATATTCTAAGTTGAAATTTTTTCTTATAAAAGCTTTTCATTTGTCGAAACTTTAATTAAAACGCATGTAAGACATATATGTATTACCATAGTATAGAACCTTCCAAGAAAGAATATAACTATTTATATATACATATACATATAACAAACCCCATGCCCTTGCTTATGACAGGCGATAATTAAGACAACGAGTATTAGCAAAATGGTAAGTGTATATTTGTCCGACATATATTGAGTTGTTCTCATATCATTCAATTGTAGGCAATTCTATATGTTAGTTCTTAGTAATCTCTATCACGCTTACATATAGAACTAGTTTAAAAAAAAATATCAATCAATAGCTATAATATTATTCTATTAATATAGTTAGTTTTGTCGTTCTTGTTCTTATTGGTTCATGACTACTGATACAGTAAAATGATGAAATTCTTTTTCTTATTTATTTATTTCGTTCCATTAACATTACAAAATGAAATTATTAGTCAATATAATAATAATTTTTCGGGTATTTTGTTTGAATTTATAAGAAAAAAAATATATATTGTTCGTATTTTCATTTTGTTTTCTTTCGTTAAGTCATTTTAAATTTAATTGATATTCCACAATTTATTGATCATGGTTGGATACCAGTTGTTGATACATCTAATACAATACTTACCGAAAATCTCATATCAACACTTGATATTGTTGATACAAATATTACTAATTTAACAAATCTTGCTGTTCGAACACCATTTTCTTGGAATTATCAAGCAGCGACTCTTGTTCTTATCAATATAAATTCAAAATTTACAAATATTTCTAGTAGAGAAAACTTTGTGTTTTTTGTTTTCAATTTTTTTTTCAATATTATTTCTTTTTATAGGATCTAATTTATTCAATACATTTATTCTTCTAGCAACATATCGTTCTGTTAGAGATGCATCAGGAACATTATTTTCTTTATTAGACAACAATAGAACATCTATATTTGAAGTAAAAATTAATACAAATATTACTGTAACTTATCATTATGATAAAAAAATAGAACAACTTATTTTTCATCACACAAGATTTGTAGCTAATGATGGATTGTAAGTTGAATGTCAATACTTTTATTCTTTTATTCAAAACAAAAAAAAAAGTTTTATTTTAGATGGCATCAAATTGTTCTTTTATTCGGCTTTGAATCCGTTACACTTCAATTTGATGATCAGTTAGATGATGAAATTAAACTACCATTAAATACCATTCAAACATCAGAAATATTTGCTATACCAAATGTTGCTCTTTTGGGTTCAAATAATTATCAAGAATATCTAAATGATTCATTTTTTAAGGTAAAATTAAGAAACGGTATAACAAATTGTAAAATTAATTTGGTAAATTTTTCCTATCAGATATCTAATTTCGAAATGTAATATATCCCATTCAAGCTATAAATTTCTATAGAAACAAATATATTATTAAACTTTCTGTATAAACTATTTATTATATTATTTCAGACATAATTTGTATAATAAAAATTAATATGAATAAGTATTTTACATACATTGTCTAAACTCTGTTCCATTGAGTTCATGATGAATGTGATATTGTACGGATTGCTTTTATTTTTCAAAATAAATAATCGTTTAAAAATTTCATAGAAGATTAAATGACTAAAATGAATATTTTTTTATTGCTCTGAATCGCAACACAATTACTTACCTGGATAGAATTCCTTTTTCTGTTCTTTTTTTTTTATAAATGTTACAAATGTTTAGTCATCGATTCATCTTTATAATGTTTTTTTTTTCTATTTGATTTATTTAAAAGACAAAAGAATTTTAAGATGCTATGTATTTGATCATACTTTAAAATTGTTAAATATAACAAAAGAACTAAACCATTATATTGATTAATAAATATACACGTTTGTTGGTGTTTAAAATTATCTCACGAAATTGGATAACATTCTCATATGATAATAAAATGTTCTTTATTCATTATTTTCAGGGTGATATTAAAGATATTCTTATCATTGAATGGGATCCATCTATCGATGAAAACAATCTTGTACCTAAAGCTATGAGAAGTTATCGTCAAAATCGAAAACTTCATCAAAAAGGACAACGTTTGAAAAATCCTTCAGTAAGTAATTTAACTATATATATATATCTTTTTAGTTATCAATTTGAATCTTCAATATTATTATGTATTTGATTTAAAAAGTTGTCAAAACAAACAGAACAATTTGAAATAGGACCATCAGGTCAACCTGGAAGATCTGGACGACCTGGTCTTAATGGACCAATAGGTGCACCAGGAGCTCCAGGTCATTTGATTGTTATTCCTGTATGTATTTAATATTTCATTTTACTTTTATTCATTTAAATTTTTTTCATAATCTTAGTCACCCATTCATGATGAGCATGATCCAGAATCTTTTGTCCGTGCAATGCAAGGAATACTTAATACATATACAGTAAGTATTGTATTCAGAAAAGAGAATGATCTTCTCTATAATTAATTCTTCAAATAGCATATTCTAACAGGTCGTCCTGGTGCACCAGGACGACCGGGTCTACCTGGTCTTATGGTAAATAGAAGTGTATTAATATAAAATTTATTGCTTGTTCTTTGTATGTTTCTTTCTAAGGGACAACAAGGTTTACGAGGCATCAAAGGAGACAGAGGCGAACGTAAGATAGGCTATGCCATTAATTTTCTACCTTTTTTTTGCAACTATTGTTTGATTGTTTAGCTGGACCATTAGGACCTCAAGGTGGAACTGGTCCAATTGGACCTCGTGGACCACCAGGACCACAGGTTTGCTTATTGTTTTTTTTTTGAATCTTCTCAATCATTACTCGTCTAATAATAACATTTGTAGGGTCCACGTGGACAAACTGGAAGCCGTTAGTAAAAAACACAAAAGATTAATAGACTTTATTCTATAAAATGTTAGTTCAAATTTATTTCTAGGTGGTAATCAAGGTCTTCCCGGTCCAAAAGGTGCACAGGTAAATAAATAGCTGATGTTTTTCTTTTTCTTATACTAGTACGTTGTCTTTCAAGGGACTACGTGGTTTTCCTGGGATTCAAGGTGAAAAGGGTAGTAAGGTAAGTTTTTGTACTAATAATAAAGAACATATTGGTTATTTTCATGTAAATAATTTATGTTTAGGGTAAAACAGGTCCTGTTGGTGATCAGTAAGTTATAGTAATTTATATATATATATATAGAAATAAATTATGATTTTATTGTAGAGGAGAGACAGGTCCCATAGGAGTTAAGGTAAGCATTAATTGACATTATTTCATATATTTCATTGTATCATCAAGGGCAATAAAGGTGTAATTGGACCACGTGGACCTCAAGGTAAGAAAAAAAATTTTTGTTCTTAATTTCAATGTTATGAGACGATATGTAGGACAAATGGGTTCACAAGGTTTAACTGGTCCAAAAGGTAACACGGGACTAATTGGTTTAACTGGTGAACAAGTCTGTATGAATATATTCGAACAATGGAGTTATATCATTTCTTTTAGGGAATACAAGGTCCTCAAGGTCTTAAAGGAGATAAAGGAGATAGAGGCGAGAAAGTACGTCGATTATTAATTTTCATTCATAGATTTCGACTTGTATATTTTCTTTAGGGAGTTATTGGTTTAACTGGTTCTATTGGTCCAATTGGACTTACTGGTTAGTGATAAGTTTTATTTCACATATTTATTTGTTCAATATTGTTTTTTATAGGTCTAAAAGGTCTGAAAGGAGAAGTTGGACCAACAGGATGTCAAGGTATTCAAGGACCACAAGTAATATTTATTCCTTCGATCTATTGTTTATTGATATGTAATGAATCTTTTTTTATCTTTCCATTCAAGGGACCTATTGGACCTCAAGGACCACCAGGTGACGTTGGTCAGAAAGGTGAAACTGGTGAAGTATGTATATAAATCCATTTGAGTCATATTCTATTATAGTCTTTTGTTTGTAGACAGGACCTAAGTGAGTATAAACAATTATTTTTCTATTCAACAGAATTATAATTATAATTTAAAGAGGAGATCAAGGTATCATCGGTCCAACGGTAAATAATCAATTCATTGAATATATATATATGTATTTTTCTTTTTATTATTTTCATCGTATAAACATTATTCTAGGGACCTAAAGGCATTATTGGTGAATATGGATTGACGGGTGAAAGGTTTGCGTGTATGCATAATCTTCAAAAATTCTAATTAATTGAACTTTTTCTTTCAGAGGTGTAAAAGGTCAGAAAGGTGAACAAGGATTAAAAGGTATAATAGGTATAACTGGTGATAAAGGAGACACAGGTGATGTTGGACCACAAGGGTATTTATTTAAAAGTTTCAATTGTTCAATTTATCTTGCTTGTTAAATTCTTTAGATTACAAGGGCCAGTAGGTGATGTAGGTCCAATTGGTTTGACTGGTATTCAAGGTGTAAAAGGAGAAAAGGTTATCTCGTTGTTTGTAATCTATTTCTCAATGACAATATGTTTTTTGACTTGATTTTATTAGGGAGAAGTTGGTCAAAAAGGTGATATTGGTATTCAAGGAATACAAGGCATACAGGTTTCGTTGTATTCTTTTGTAATAGTGATGAAACACTGCTTTTGTTTTGGTTCTTTTTTTTCTTTTAGGGTCCGATTGGTCTCACTGGTGTTATTGGATTAACGGGTCCAAAAGGTAGCAAAGGTAATCAAGGACAAAAAGGTGATACAGGAGCTCGTGGAGAGACTGGACAACAAGTATGTAAATAGTTTCAATCGTTTAATACTATGATATATACTATTTATTTTTTATATTTATAGGGTATTCAAGGAATTCCAGGACCACCAGGTATTCAAGGTGAAACAGGTCCAATAGGACCTAAAGGCGATCAAGGTAGAATTTTATTATTGCACAATAAATCTTAGAAACATATTTTTTTCTTATGCTGTTTTAGGTGAGAAAGGAGACAAAGGAATTATTGGACTACAAGGTCCTCAGGTAAGATTCGTTTTAAGCAATCAAAAGATTAATAATAAATGTTTCGAAAAGGGACAACAAGGTCCAATTGGATTCACCGGTGATAAAGGTGATCAAGGCATAATTGGTCCTATTGGCGAAAAAGGTTCGTGTTATAATGCAAAATTAGACAGATAATTAATAATAAAAAATTATTTAGGCGATCGTGGTGAAAAAGGCGATCAAGTGAATATTCAAAAAAATTTAAAAAAATATTCATTCGCTTTGTTTTTTGATGATAGGGACTTAAAGGTGAACAAGGTATTATTGGTCCCATAGGAATAACTGGAGAAAAGGTTCAATATTTTAAATAAAATTATGTTGAATGAATATGTTTCCTTTTATAGGGTGAACAAGGTCCAGTAGGTCCAATAGGAGTCGATGGACCTCAGGGAGAAAGAGGTAAGAAAAAAAAAGAAACGTTTTATATTTTTCTGTAGTATTAGTATATGAAAAAAAAATCTTTGATTTTGTACAGGAGATAAAGGTGATACTGGACTAAAAGGAATTCAAGGTGAAATTGGACCACAAGTAAATCTATTCATTTTTAAAACTATCACAAATTTAATATCATTTTAAAATTTAGGGATTCAAAGGTGATACTGGTAAAAAAGGAGACACAGGACCAATTGGACCAAAAGGCGGTACTGTCAAATTATCATTGTATGACTTGATAATAATGATATATACATATTAATTTTAGATAAAGGAGAGATCGGAATTATAGGATTACAAGGTGAAAAAGGTGATACAGTGAGTAATTATAAAAAGCAGGTCTTGACACTGTTATCTAATTTTTTTTTCATTGTTAGGGTCCAATTGGCATAATTGGACCGACAGGACCTATTGGAGAAACTGGACCAAAAGGTGAACAAGGTGAAAAAGGTGACAAAGGTGATGATGGAATTAAAGGTCAAAATGTAAGTATGAATAATCATATTATGATTTCATATCTATTTAACTTGATATATTTCTTAGGGAGAGAAAGGTATCGAAGGTATACAAGGTCCTCGTGGAGAAACCGGTGAAAAAGGAGATACTGGTGAAGTAAGTTAACTTACTTTAACATTTACATAATCAACTCAACAATTAAGTTTTTTCTTTAGGTAGGTGAAATTGGTCCAAAAGGTGAAATAGGTTAGTTCAATTCAAGAATTCATTTTTAAACAAAAACAAAAACAAAAAGCTTTGCATAAAAAATAAATTCTATTGTTTTTAGGAGAAAAAGGTGGTCAAGGTTTACAAGGACCTGTAGGACCACAAGGTTCTCAAGGTGAACAAGTAAGTAAAAGTAATTTATAATTGTAAATTAAAACAGAATATTCTTTTTTTTAAATTTTATACTTTTTAGTTGTTACTTCTGTTTAAAACTTTGCAATAAAGAGTTCAATTTAATGTGTTTAATATTTTGTTTTAGGGACCACAAGGAATCAAAGGTTCAACAGGTTCACAAGGTCCAAAAGGTGATCAAGGCATTACGGGTCCAACTGGAAAACAAGGACCAAAAGGAGCCACTGGCCCTGTGGTGAGTCTATGCTCTATCTTAATAAAAAAGAAAAAGAAAAACTCGCATATCAAAAGATAATTATATATATTTTTGATCTTCAGACTCTCATAATTATTCAAACGTTTGCTCAATATGAACAAATTGAGACTTGAACTTGATTTCATTATACAATGAGTTATACAATATAGAAAAATAAAATATTACGAATAAGAGTTTATTTTGTATTTTATTATGAATTTAATTGATTGAGACTATTAATATATTGAAAATTTTCTTGTAAATCCTACTTATCTATAAGATCTTATGATGAATAAAATAAATGCAATTGTTGATTGTTTATCGTCGTATTAAATCTTGGATATTTATGATAAGAATATGCACACACGTTGAAACATGGAGATCATCTTGTTCTATCGTTGTATCATTACACAATGGACATGACATCAATCTATTTGTATGCATCAACATGTAAAATCAATAGTTTTGAGTTATACGTGACATTGGATTCATAGAGGTTATCGTGTATTATTGTAATAGTAAAATAATTAGAAAGAAGATTAATAACCTGAAGATTTTCAATAACATCAACAAAAATAATTGAAATATTTACTTTTTTTAGGGTGAACGAGGACTTCAAGGACAAAGTAAGTTATTTATTTGAATCAAAAATAAAACAATTTAATAATGTGTCGTTTTTCTTTATGTTTTTAGAAGGAGAAGTTGGCTCAAGAGGATCAAAAGGAAATACTGGACCTGCAGGTCCACCGGGACCAAGTGGTATGTGACATTTATGAAATATATATATATCTTGATTTTTATTGCTTATTACTAATTATAGGAGAAAGAGGTCCAAAAGGTGACCGAGGACCACGTGGAGATCCAGTAAGTCTTATTTAAAATAAATATTCATTTGATTATACCATTTATAACAAAAAAAAAAAGGGAGAACCTGGTGATCGAGGACCACAAGTAAGCGAATTCAAATTCAAATTAATATGACAAAATTTTCATCTATTTTTTAAATATAATCATAGGGACCTCCAGGAACAAATGGTCAACCTGGAAAGTAAAGAATAAATTTTCTTTGAAAATATTTTTTTATTCTATTTGACATATCATATTTTCTTGTTTAGTGCTGGACCACCTGGACCACCGGTAAAGACTTTGAGCATCTATTAAGTTTCTTTTCTTTTTGACTGATAAATATTGATTATTTATTTTTAAGGGTGTAGTTGGTATACAAGGAGCAAAAGGTAAATCATTCTTATTTTAAACATAAAATAATCATTTTTCTTTCCTATCTAGGAACGGATGGACCACGAGGAGCCAAAGGTGATAAAGGTTCAACAGTATGTATAAACATAAACCTATTCAATCCCATTAATATTTATCTAACTTTGTTGTTTTCTTTTTATCTAGGGTCCACCGGGTCCACCAGTATATTTTCATCAATTGTTAATAAACATAATACGATTTCTTTGATATCTAGGGTCCACCTGCTGATACTCTATTATCAAGTGATCTTGCTTCAGGTGAACATCATTCCAAAAAAGTTCAATGGCCTCCTCATAGATTACGTCGTTCAATAATACCAGTTGAAGAAAATATTCAATTAAATTCTATTGCATTTCAATTACTTCATATATTAGATAATATGGCAAATCAATTGAATCAAATTGAATCACCAATAGGTCTTCAACGTGATAATCCATTTCAATCATGTCTTGATCTTCATGACCAATCAAAAATAGGTAAAAACAAAATTTTTTGTATCAATTTTGAAAATAAAATTCTTGAATTATTAAGGAAAATATTGGATTGATCCAAATCATGGAAGTACATTAGATGCTATTGAAGTTAATTGTATTATTGAAAGTGGTAGAAAAAAAACTTGTTTACAACCAAATGATGATCAACAAAAACAAGTGAAAAAAATGTCTTTCTTACTAAGGAACTTTTCTAACTTGAAAATTGCTTTTGAATTTCAACTCTGTAATTGAATATCTGTGTAGTGAAGATCTGGGAGTTCTTGTCCTTTTTCGAATTTTTAATACCTCATTTGAGTCTACCTTATCGATACAGTCCGAACTCAAAATTGATTTTCAAATTGAGAACATTCTCTCGTAAAATTTCTTAATCTCTAATGATTCTTTAGATTAATTATGGACCGATATCTCAAATACGTTTTTTACAAATTCTTTATAATCAAATCGAACAAAATTTAACTTATGAATGTAATAATGAACTTCAAACAAATATTACATTTGTATCTCTTGATGATATTCATTATAATATTAATCAATTATCAAATGTAATTATATATGATGAATGTCAGGTAAATATTATTTTAAAATAAAATCCGTTTTAGATTTATTTATTATAGAATAAACAACAAGGATCAATCAAATATGTTATTAATACATCTGATACACATCTATTACCTATTATTGGTATTATATCATTAATTAAAAATATACGTCTTAGTCAAGTGTGTTTTTTTTGAATCAATTGATTTGCATTCCGTTTGAAAGAAAGAAAAAAAAGCAGTTTGAATTTTTTCTTAATAAATAAAAACTAAAAAAAAAAATAAACAATCAAAAAAAATAATTAATTTTCAAAGGAAACAAATTAACAGAAATATTTTATATTTTAACTGAAATTAAAAAAAAATAATCAAATGTATAATATAAGTTATTAGTCCAATAAATGTTATTATCATTAAATTGATAATAAATATCACAAGAGAAAATCATGCACATGTTAATATAGTTAAATCTAATGCATTAAAGCATAATAGCTTTTCCTAAAGGTAAAACGGATGTATGCTAATAAAAGTAAATAATACAATAAAAAGTAATGTTTGTACGAATGTTAAAAGAATAAATACTCGTTGATTATGTCCGTTACGTTAAAAGCATACAATACACTCCGTGAACAGATGTTTAACGATTTGATTTAAGTTATTTAAGGGTCTCCCTCAAAAAAAAAAGTCACTTTTCGCCAGGAACGTCGACATTGAGATAAATGCATAGGAAGATAGCCTGTGATCTAATGTTTCATAAATGACAAGATTTTTTTCTCGATACTTCGTCTTTTCCAAAAAATTTTTGAAGATTTTTATTATCCCCTATTCAAAAAATAAGCTGTTTTCAGAAAAAACAGAAAATCTTTTTTCTTTTTTTCTCCATTTATAGTTTTTTGATCACGCAATCCAAATTTCCCTGGCGATACTCATTCTATACATTTAATTCTTTTTTCGTTTGAAACAGCGCGCCAAGACGCAGTGCAGTACAGAGTCCTGTTTTTTTGATTAAGCTTTACTTTTACTATATATATATATATATACAAACATTTATATAACTTGAGGGCCATTTTTAGAATTTTTGAGTCATTGAATTTTCGATCCCTTTTCTTTCCTTAAAAAAGTAAGAATTTAAAAAAACAAAGGCCCGTGTACTGCACTACATCCTGACATGGTCTTTAAAACAAAAAACAAAAATAAAGACATAGAATGAACGTGGACAGAGAGATTTTGTTTGTAAAATGAGCTATTTTTGATCCTTGTTTGGTCAATATCTTCCTCAAACGTTATGATATCGGGCTAAAAATTCTATCATAGTTTATCCACTACAGTCTCAACATATTCTCAAAAATTTCATGCGATTTAAACATTCCTGAGCTGAGATCAATTTTTCAAGGCGAGCCTTAAGAAAATATAATATGTGTTCAATCAACTGCTGCTTCTTCTATTAGCATAGTATATGATCATTCATTGTTTGTTATACAATTATTTATGTAAACTATAGCTTAATTAAATCGAATAGCCCATCAATCGTACTCTATTTAATAAGCTTGATCACTTAAATTTATTTAGACAAGTAATATTAAAATAAGAAATCGAGAATTATTAATAAATCTCATCAACTAATACAATCACAAATAGCTGCAAGAATAATATAAATTAATACAACTGCTTTCAATCATTTTGAAGCTATTCTGTATTACAAGTTCTTTTACTTGTTAGTAAACTTGTATTAACAATACCATATACACAAACTAAATAACGTTGTATTATAAGATCTTGGAAGAGAAAATAACTAATTATAGTAATTGCCATTCAAAACTATAACAATAGAAAAAGAAGAATTCATCAATCAAATGTTTGTCTCTTTTATTATTATTCACAAAGAGATCTCTTGAGCTTAATTTTCTCAATGAAATATTTTCTAATTTCATTTTTCAATCGAATTGATCTTATACACAATATGTTATTTATAAGTTTTTGTTAATTTTATAGATCATTTCTTTTTGTATTAGTAATTTTTAGATTTTTGATTAGTATAGTTTATATTCGATTGAGAAAGAAAAACCAATGGTTTTTTTTTCATTTGTCTTTTATCCTTATTCACTAATACATTGATGTCATATTTGTCTTTAATTTGTTATTACTTATTCTAATGCATAACTAGCAAAAAAAAAACCAATGTTTACCATTGTGTCGAAGTTTATTGCACATTAATAAAATGCCTAGAATGTCAACGATGAAGAACATAAGTCGTCAAAAGAATAAGAAACTATTAATATGCATTAGAATAAAACTAACATCTTGACAAGTCGAACATATTATCATTCTCCGTTTTCTGGTTTTTATGATGTTGTATTTATGTGATTTAATATAATTTAAGAATTCTCATATGGAAGTAAACGCATATTTCTAGATTTTGTTAAGCTAATTTTCTCTTGCCTAATACTTTCATGTTCTTCCTGTCACAATCATCTCTTCTTAATGTCAATTTTTTTTTTCTGAAAATGATTGTTATGTTTTTTTTCTCTCTATGTTCTCGGTTCTCCATGTTAGACAGAAGAACAAGAACAACAATAAACAGCAAGGATAAGAGATTTCCAGATTATTCTCTTTGTCACTTTGCATCTGTAATCTGTGTTGACGCGTGATCAATTATCGCTTTGCTGCTTTCCGTTCTTGTCTATCAACAACAAGTGCGTCTGTCTGTTCTCGGTTTCGTCTATTCCATATGAAAAAGTCACATTATTAACGCTCACCATATTGCTGAGAGCGATCAAACATCCGGAATAAACGAATCCATTCCTTTTATCTGGTAATAAAAACATTTCTTTTTCTATGATGGAAAAAAGCTTTTATTTCCGTTTTTTTTTGAGCATATCTCATTTCTCTAGTTTTCTTTTCTTGTTTTCATCACAATTTCCTTAGGTTTTATAATAAAGATTGTGTTATGGGAAAATGGTATTTATAAAACAGACAAATATTCATGTCAATTGATATGAGTTCTCGTCGATACACAATTTCAACAATAACAACAGGTCGACCACGAAAACAACGTTGTTTACCAACTCCAATTAAACACATTTTGGAAGGTATCACACAATATGATAGTAAGTAGATATATGTGTGAATAATCATAATACTTGATTTGTTCAACTAGTCATCTATCTAATGAACTAAGCTATTAATTAATCAAACACCGAACAGAAAGATTGAACCTACTAATTTCTACGAGAACTTCTATATGTAAAAAAAGTGTAAACCTTTACTTTCAAAATAGAATTAACAAAAAAAAAGGTATTAAAATCAACATAATGAATTGTGTATTTTTTTTCATGCAGAAAATTCACTGAGTATATTAATGAAAACCAATTCTTTTTTCGTAATGTTTTTCTTGTTCTATAATCATTGAAAAGTAATTTTGAGATTCTAGAACAAAAGAAACATTACGAAAAAAAAAGCTGGTTTTATTAAAATATTCAATGAATTTTCTTCATTAAAAAAATGCACAATTCATTAGCGATTCTTGTAGAAGTTAACAAGTTCAATCTAATCATATAAAAATATCACAAAAAAAAAATTCTGCTGGATTTTAGAATTATTAATTCCCTATTCACATTGCTTAAATACAGAGATCGAATAAGAACTCATTAATTCAATACAGTACAAATCGATATATGACAAAACGAAGACGTATTCCTATCTTACAGTTTTTCTATAAACATAATTCTCGAGTAAAGCAAAATAGGAATTGTTTTGAAGTATATTTTTAGTTTTCATTTTGGATTATTATGACCTATGTTTTATTTATTCATTGAGAAGATTTGTAAATATTGAATAATTAATTATTCATGAAATCAAATAATATCAGGAGAATTTCTTTATCACAACTGAATTTATCTAATAAATAATACTGAAGCATTGTTAAGAGATTTTTCTACCATCAAAAACAACAATAGAATAAAAGAACATTTCATATTGAATTGTTTCTATTCTAGAATACTTAATATATTTCATATAGATTAGACAAAAAACAAAACAAAATAAACAAATGCTAATATATTAAAATAATCAGAAGAAATTTTCGAAATATATCATATATTGATTGAAAAAGATGTATCAAACAATTCTTAATTGTGATTTCTATTTCATAAACCATTGTTTTCAATGAAATCAGAATGAATAAATCTATTTAAGAATTTTTATATATCGTACAGAGATAGTATATATATTAATGTTTTGTTTGTCATTATATGCGGAAATTTTATTAGAAACTATAAACCTTGAACTATATTCTTTGATCATACCCATTAATATTGAAGTTGATTTTATCTAGATTTTAATTTGATATTTTTCAATTATAACCAAAAGAGAAAATATCAAAAATTCTAATTCTAATTGACTACAAATCTTATTCTTACTGTTTTATTGTATACATGCGCTGAGCTTATATTCTATTTATCAATACTTTAAAAATCTCCTACCTAGAATTGACAAGAATTTCAAATTTTTTTTTTTTTTTTTACTTTTAACGAAAGTTGAGATTATCATTGTAAGTTAAGAACAATAATACAACAGTTTTGCAAGTATTTTCATAGAATTATTGAGAATTTTCTTTTGTTTTATTTTCTTTTTATAAAGCTCCTAAAGTGGTACGTTTTGAATCGAAATGGATTGCAACTATATCTTTATTTGTTAAATTATCACTTGCTATTAGTTGTATATATTTAATGTGTCAACGACATTCATATCAAATATTTGATCGTTCACCTATATCAGTTGTAACAATTAAAGTAAAACCAGCACAAGATTGTGTAATTAATTCATCTATAATGTATTATTTTCCAAATTATAATTGTGAACAATCAATATATGATGTAAATGATTTTATTACACCAGCAACAGAAAATTCTGCTATATCAATAACAATTCGTATGGTAGAAATGGAACATGTATTAAAATACTGTTATAATAGAACAATAAGAAAAAATTCAAAAAAAATTAATTCATCATTTCAAATAGCATCAATACATAAATGTTATGAAAAAACACGTTGTATTTTACCACCATTATATCGTTATGAATATGAAAATGAAAAACTTATTAAAAAACCACAATTATGTTGGTTTAAATTACCAACAACAACTGTTAAAAGAAATTATCGTGCACTTAATTATATTTTATTTATAAAACATTTTGTT